CAGAAAACCGTTTACTCCTCACTGGAGCACAGGCCCTGCAAGCCTTCCTCCCTGTCTAAGGGCGTAGTTGCTGAAGTCACACAGCAGACTCCACAGTGGCTAGTCGCCCGGCTTGTGCGTGTCACATCTCTAGACAGTTAAGCATTCGGCTTGGTTGGGTCAATGGCTAGTGAAACACTTAGTCACCCTCCACTGAAGATGAACAGCTTCCATGTGGTAGCAGGCAAGCTCTGATAATCAGTATATTTATTATATAAAGGGTCGTGTTATCAGATACTTAACAACGTGTCCTGTGAGCAAAAAAAATAATTAAAAAAATTGTCAGTAGGTTTATGGGAAACATCCCATTCACATATCAGATGCCAGGAAAACAATCTCTCTATGTTACTTCATCCATTTATACAGTCCTCCATTTCTGCATGTTTGCTTGTGAATGCTACAATGGCTAGACTTTGCTAGCACAAATCCCAGTTCTGTGCTAGTGCTGTGCCAGTTCTGTGCACTAGTTTGATTGTTAACACAAACTCCATTTACAGGTCTGGTTATGCTGGAATTAACTTTCACACCAACACAGAATTGTCACTGAATCACTACTCCCCATTCCCCCAGCCAGCCATGCTCTTCTGTGGCCACAGCGATTATTTCCAATGTCACTGGTTTACAAATAGAAAGATTAAGGCACAGAGAAGTGACTTGCCAGTGGTTGCAGGGAGGAAAACTGGAGAGACAAGAGAAAACATATGATTTTGACAGTTAGGGATGTGACTTAGGCATTTTCCAAGGTCACTTTACTACAGCACACTGAGCCCATGTGCTCCTGTGTGCAGTTTTCCCTAAAAAGCAGCACATAATGAGCTCATAGGGTAGGCATAATTCTGGTATTTCTCAGCAGCTGGCATGAGAATAGGATACACGGAGAAATCACGTAGCTTCCCCTTGTTAGCATTGCTCGAAAGCACACGAAGCAGTCTTACTGCTTACTCACCAATGCTCTTACCTGTGCCATATCATCCAAACAGTTGAAAATATACTTTCTTGCTTCCTTCGACTTAATCCCCGTCTCTGCCTCATGATCATCCGGTGTCTGCTCAAAACAGGAGACAGGTATTGACCAGAAATGCCCTGCAATCAGCTGCAGGCTCTGTGCCACTTTCAGCTCGTGCCTTATCCTGCCCTCATCAGAGACCACCGTGTCTCTCTCGCCTGCCCTGATAACATTTACACTACCTCCACTATGGTTATATGCCAGCTTTTGTGCCACACGGTGATTTACCTCTTCTTTTTCACTTCAGAGGATCCTCCGAACCACAGCGGGAGTCCCAAAGTTATCTTACACCCATTCCAGCATGAGGCTCAGCAGCCCACTCCCACAGCCAGAAGCCCACTGGCATCTCCTTGGGGACTGAATGCAGCCAGACACGCTGGTACAAGAAACAGCAGGACTCACTTGCATTAGTAGTGGTTTTGATTGTCAGAATTAAAATGCTTGCTTTTGATTTTTCTTCCCGGTAGATATTAGAGCAAAGTCTGCCCGGGGCACGTTTCATTTAAACTACGCACCAATTCATTAGCTACTTAGAGGGAGATTTCCAGGTCAATTCTGAACTTTTCTGACAAAGCAGTGCCGAGCAGGTGGGCTAAGGGCTGCAGACTTTGGGGATGACAGTTTTAGCTCAGGCTATACCCACCCCAATGTCTGTGCTGCATTGCAAAAGGCAAAGACTTAGGCTCTGAGGTGACCTGAATGTCTCTCCTCACTTCCAACCAACAACTGCAAGGTAAAAGAAAGTAGGGAACGGCTTCCTACCTTCAGCCTCCACAAAGGATACGGTGAGTCTGTATCCCTGTTGAAAAATCTCGTAGTCTTTGTCCCTGCACTTAACAAATACTCTGCTGGTAAGCCCTGCGTCTGCGAAATATAGCGAATCTGTAAGAGAAGGATGAGAGGTCACTGTTCATCCTGTGAAGATCTGTGGAGGTCTTTCTTGAAGGAGGGCAGGAGGCATTTAAAACAATAGAACAAAGAAAGAGAAAACGTAGCACGTAGTAAGACTTCACCAGAAAACCCCCACACCACAACCCCATGAAAGGAATGAGAGAAAGGAGAATTCCCGTACAGCATTCCTCCATTTATCACACACATCACTGGAAACTCACCCGTACAGTACACTCCCACAAAGCCCCCCGACAAAGGGAGGAAAGTCCCTAGGTTTCAGAGGTCAAAAAGGAAGACCCATGCAGAGATTTCAATTGGGTGTTTCACCGTTTTTGTGCTTTTTTATGTCACGCTCTCCTCTCCAGGAGGTAATTCAACAATTTGAGATTTGTGCTCTAACTTTTGCTGTTTTTTTTTCCCCTAGGTGAGCGCACAGCCCTTCCTAGGAGCAGTTTGAAATTCATTGGAACATTCTGAAGTTCAAAATAGAGGTCTATGAAGTGACTGTCTTTGAACTTAGATGAAATACACACTCAAACTGACGCCCTCATGGCATGTAAAATACTTCATCTCTATCGCCTACATAACTTCAGTTGTTATTTGGGCTACTTCCATGAGTATGACCTCGCTGGCACTCACCCAGCTAAAAGATGCTACACATGTGTTTCCAGTATCTTTGACTTGACTTTATTTATTCAAAGCAGAAGGGGTCTGTGATTACACAGAGACTGATCTCGCACAAGCTTTGGGTGCCACGCCAAACCCTAACTTTGGCACCCTCTTGACTCCTGAATGTTTCTGCAAAAATTGCTGCAAACTCTGCAAAACTACTAAAAATAGTCACCTACTCCAGAAAATTCTAGGGAAGAACGGAAACTGATTTTGAGAGAAGTGACAGGGAGGGGTAAAAACAGACAAATAAATAAAGGCATAAAAAAACAGCCATTGTTTCAAAGACTTCCAAGTAGTCAGGATCCCGTTCACTGAGCATGGCTTTGCTTGGCTCTGCAGGTCTTTAGGTCCACCACAGCCCGTGCACTGGAGAAGCACCAGGATCCTGCCCCCAGCCCAGTGTCAGTGCCGCAGGGCAACTTGGGCTGCAGCGAGGGCCCGGGATCAGTCCATGCCCCATTCCCAGCTCCCCAGGAGCCCTCAGTGTAATTCACTGGAGGAAGTTTTGGGTTGCACAGGTATTGTACAGTGATTTCTTTTTTCAATTGTGTGTTTCATGGCGTTTGCTGGGGGAGGAGAAAGAAATCTACTCTTTATGCTTGGTATCTTATTCTTCAAAAGCTTGTAAGTTTTTCAGCTATGTCTGATTCCCCTTGGAGTCACTAATGGCTCTGCTCTCCATCCCTGCCAAATTTCAGCTTTAGAGCTCTGACTAAAAAAATACTAGTTACAAAAGAAGAGTCAAATATTTTCATGTATGAAAAACTTATTTATTACCCTGATCTTCTTTTCTTTTTTTTTGACATTTTCTGGAAGAAAAAAGATCCTTTTCAGGCCACATTTGCAAAAAGCTACGAACATCCCAAAGACAATTGTGGAAATGGAAAGTGTCCTGTAGCCCTGGCTCTAGCAGCCTCTGCGATATCAGTTTTAGGACTACAAAAGGAGTGTAAAAGCCTACACAGAGAGGAGCACAACAGCTTATATTAACTGGAAACCTACATCAATGTGAATATTCTCCTTCTTGCCATTGCTGTTAATATGCACCCTCATAAAATGAGTTAAGAAATGCAGCAAAGTTTGTGCAGTTTCTTCTGACAAATAAACCTTTATGCAATCCTCACTGTTACAGCAGAGAAAGGGTGCCTGCTCTGCTCAGTGCAAAGAGACATGCACAGAGCTCTTCTGTCAATGGCAGTGTTAACTCTTCATTGAGATTTCACTTAGTCAGGTCTTAAAAGCCAGCAGTACCAAACAGCACACTGGTTACCTAGAACAAATACCCCAGGTGGATAATGAAAAGGTTGGTTTGGGAGGGTAAGAAACACATATCCCTAGAAGAAGTTGGCATCTGTTCATGTTGACAAAAGAAGGGAAAAAACACCCATATCCTTGCCAGCACCCAGGGCAATGTCCGTACCCACCTGATCGTACTCCGAGGCTCCTGGGTACAACGGCCAGCCCAAGAACAGCTCCGCGATGACACATCCCAATGACCACATATCGATTGCTTCACAAAACGGCAAACCGAGGATTATTTCAGGGGCTCTGCAAAGGGAGAGGTTAGAAAACATCAGCCACAGGAGCAGAGAGGCTTGGCTGGCGTAGGGAGGCCCAAGGAGAGCGCGACGCTGACGAAACCGCCTGATGCCAATGAGTGTCATTGCTCCCATGGATCTGAGGGGCCCCAGCGGCCACTGCCAGAGTGTCTGCTAACCCAGCACTGAGTTGGTGAATGTTATCCTTGCAGAAGACTCCTGGAGGAGGCCTTCAGCCAAGAGGCAGCCCGATGTTTTGTAGCAGTTTGAAAAGGAGAGGACTACTATTATTTTCAGGCAAGGTGGGAAAATGAAGCACAAAACAAACATTGTGCATTCAAGGCTGCCCAGTGCAGGTCCGCACTCGAGGCTCTCGGGCCCAGCTCGCCGTCCTGTGGAGGAGCTGTGCAGACTCCCCACGGTGAAGCATCACCCATCCACACAGTTCAGCGGGCTTCACAAACAGACAGACACTAAGTAATCATTACAGGACTAGTATAAAAGGATTACTAACTTTTTACACAAAAGGGTGTAAACATAAAAACAGAGGAACAATGTAGTTAGATCTGTTAAGACCTAAGCCTTTTCCTCAGGAGGAAGTAGCCAAGAAGCCTTCACCTCTCAGTCTGTCCCAGGCACCTGATTAGATTTCCTCCTCCCTTCCAGCCCAAACACCCAGAATGTGGCAGCACTTCCACTATGCATTTACTGCTGGCTTCAGGAGACGCCCACTGAGGTACCTCTGCTCAGTGAGTTTCGGCCTCAGTCCTGCTGAGGAAAGAGAGGACAAGGTAAAAGCTTTGCTTCAGCTCTCCACAGGATCCCTGTCTGGGCCATGGAGGAGATGCCCAAATAAGCACAATCAATCTCAGCTGAGACGTCCACAGAACCTTAAGGTAAGGGTCACAGAAACATAGAAACATCAAGGTTGGAGAGGACCTTAAGATCATCAAGTCCAACCTAAAGCCCTACACCACCGTAACACTACTTCAACCTTTTGGCCAGGTAGAAGCTGGTGTCAAACCTTAGCCAGGCACCATGCAGTCAACGGAGACACACACACAAGGGGTACTGGTCACACTGTTTTGGGATGGTTTGAATCTTTCTTCACCAAAGCTAGACAAGCTCCCTAAACTACAGTGGCCAAGATGAGACAAGATGGATCCCCAACTTAGCACCCCAAATGCTTTGCATTTCAAAAGCAGCCTCTAGGTGGAAGACTCAAAAGTATCTTATAAATACAAAAAACCTTACACAAACCCCACCTCTGCACACAAACACCTTCCTTACCTTCCCTACGTCAGCCCAGACTTCTACATGCAGTTAAGTGCCATAGTTCCTATTTTACACAGTGATCACCTAAGGCTTCTCTCCTGCTCTTGTAGATCTTGCACCACTGCTGAAGTCCCAGGTTCAGTTACACAACAGAAAGAAAAACTTACTCACACTCCTCTAACCCTCCACAGAATAAAAAATAAAAATAGCAGAAGACAGATAAAAGAAAGAAACACATATTGTTTTAAAACCTGTGTAATTTTAAAAATAGCCTTAGGATTCCCAGGGCCCTGATGCATATTGTGGGAATGCCTGGGGTTGACTACTGAGCAAATCAAGTGCCACCATCCAGAGCTGGAAATACGATCCATGGTTCCCAGTTTCCCCATCTGTCATCAGGATAAGATCTGACACTAGTGAGATCATACTAAGGATTACCAATTGCAGTGGAAAATATTATGTTCTAATCACGCCATTATGCGGTCATGTGAAGACAAGTCTTTAGCCAAGAAACCAAGCAAAACAGGTAATTTTTTCCAAAGAAACAAACAAAGGCCCTGTAACAAGAATTAACACACCATTTTCTGTCCACAGACTTCCCAAATTCTGGGTTGACTGGTAATGACAAAAGCCCCAAACTATCTGTTCTCAAACCACCAATGCAGAATGTAAAAACTATGTGAAATTCTGTGATTTTAAGCTTCAGATTGCTTTGTGCCATTCCCACAAAAAAAATGCCAGAAACTTAAAAAGTGGCGACCTTTAAGCCATTCTAGCTTCATCTGTGCTTTTTCTCATACCCCATTGTTCAGCCCATCGTGACCAACTTTTTATTCTAGCATCAATCTCTCCTCAGGAACAAGGGGTTAATTCTCCTCCTTTCCTCCCCATTTCGTCATCCCTGCACACTACTCGACACCTAGACAAAATGCAGAGAGAAAAAGACAGCTATGGTGACCTGAATCTCATTACTATGTAAATCCTGCATTCAAAGCCATCTGCCTCTCCCTGTCTGCCTTCCACATCGTGAACGAAATGTCCCTGGTCACTAATGAAAGCTCAGCCACGAATCGCCTGAACTTCAAATCCCTCCCACTAACTCAAGTAGGGGGAGCAGAGGGGTGGACTATCGGTGGGGTATTCCCAACGTGATTCTGTGGAGAAAACTCCCTGTTCATAAAAAAAATCGCTTGCAATGCTGTCATATGCAGCACACACTCCCTCCCCTCTCTCCCCCTACTTATGCTGCCAACACCTCCAGACCCCTGCAAGAAGGAATGACCTAGAACGTGAGGTTCTAGTTTTGTTTCTTGTGAGTCTCTGGCTGTCTACTGGGTTTTCCTTAAAACTTCAGCTTCTGAAGTGCAGCAATTAGGAGAGAATTTATTTTTTACAAACAAAAGCAGTTTTTCCACCTCCTCAGTTGCAAATGAAAGCACAAAAACAGTGTCCATACCATTTAAACACATAAAAGGCAACTAAACAGAACACCCTTAAACCAGACCTATTGCTGTAGGGAGGTGGTGAGATTGTTTTATTTTTACTTTTTTGAAAGCTGGTATTTGCATTACTCAATCAAGCCTAAACATTAGTTGCAATCTTTGCCTGTTCAGCCTCAAACAGATTATAATTTTGGAACAGCGATAAGAACTCCTGCGAGAAGGGGGCCAGATCAAAGTGATATGGTGCCCGACGTACACCACAGCTGGTGTTCGCTGCAGCTTTCTTCTTCCAGCCCTGCCTTCGTGTCATGACTACAATTTTTCCATAGAGAGGGAGTGGCCTTAAGACAAAAAGATCTTGTTAACTTAATTAAGCAGTTATTAAGACACCTCAAGAGCGACAGGTACCATTTACCACACAGGCTTCCAGATTTTCAGCTAGCAGGTACCTCCCATTTGCCACACACTGACAGAGCTGGAGTCACCCCAGGAGGAGCAGCATGCTGGCACTTTGCTACTGGCCAGCATGTTTTGGTGGAGAACACTACAAGTTCTGTAATGAAATAACTCATCCGCTGGTAAAAAGGCCTTCTGAACCTCTGTAAGGTGGAAATTGTTCTGTACGCTCAGTTATGGATGCATAGAGCCTTCTGCATACAGACCTATATCTAACACACGGAACTCCTCTCTAACTTAACATAAACACACCGATCTTTTTAGGTGAGAGCTTGACTTCAATCACACCTTGAGGCATGTAGTTCCACAGGAAACCTTCTGCTTTCAATAGCATCTTATCACCGTTACTTAAAGCCTCATTTTCCTTCATCAGGTTTAAATTTGTCACCTCTCACTTCATATTCACATGGATTGGCTTAGAGGTGAAGATGGAAGCGCTTGGATCACCTTTCTTTTAGCACAAGCTATTTTCGCATCTCTGCCCTGCTCTCCCTTGTTTGCAGCATCTTCTGGCTTCTCAACGCTCCATCTCGTGGATGTTTCACTGCACTTTCACCGTCTAGAGCTACAGCTCCTCTTCCTGACACAACTGCTTGGAGACAGGCTAAACAGACCTAGAAACAGTTAAACATGAGGCTATACCCCTGACTTGTGTTACACTATTTGCAGAATGCTTTCGCGTTCCAGTCTTCCCTGAGCCTAATATTTTGTTTGCTTTTGGAGTGACACGAGGCATTTCAGCAGATGTTTTATCTGGGAGATCCTCTGAGACACACAGTCCTTCCTCCAGAGGAGCTGCAGTTAATTTAGGACATAGGATTATGTAGAAATAGTTCATTTTTCCTCTTTCAATGTTTACTGCCTTTCAGTACTGCACTGATCTGGCATAATGTTGTCTGTAATCTAGATCAAGTACTTTAAATGTTCCTCACTCTGATCTGCAGCCTACCCTAAGCAAGCCTGTGGTATCTGCATAGTTAAGCACTTCACTGCTAGTCCACCACTTTTTACAGATAATCGATACATTAAATAACTCTGGTCCTAAAACATGCACCCAGGCCACTCCACAATGACCCTTTTACTCCCTAAAAGCACTCAGATTTAGCTCAGCAATGAGAACGGTGTAATTCTCTTTTCCAAAGGGAAAGAAAGTATTTCCACGTTTTAGCCAGTTCTTACGTGGGATTTCCCCATTCTGCAGCTGTTAACGCTATGTAACAGAGAAAAATGCCCTATTAAAGTGTGCACAACAGGGTACTGCAATTATAAATTGGCAGGACAATTCACACGGCAGCAGGTCCTCCCAGAACAGCACCGAGATCTTCAGCAGATCTCGCCATAGCTGCGCAAAGAAGTGTTTTCTGTACCGGTAATACTGCTTGTCTTAACACACTCACCAAACCTTTTGATTGTGGTGGGCATCTTGTCTGAAATCATGCAAAGGCAGCTCACTGCCAGACACTTGGGTATGTGCAGAAACATCCCCATTTACCGTTCGCCCCCAGTTTTTTGGCTGTACATCTGCAACACCTTCAGCACAGTATTTCCAGCCTCTGGTATGAGACACATGGAGGGAAAATAGAAAACTTCACCCTCTCATCCTTCCTCTCTCAAGATCTGCCTTCGATGTCTCCTAACAAAAGGCACTCCCCTTCTGCATGTGCAGGCACAACCTGCTCTACGGCTCACACAGATTTCACCAGCGTAGACTAAAGACTTAGAAACCACACACCACCATTCCGAAAAAGACTGAAGAGCCCTGCCAAGAGCCTTCATCTCCAGGAGAGAAGCAGCCAGCCCATCCCCAGTTCCCACATCTTGTCCTCCTTTACCAGAC